AAGGATAAACAAAAAGAAGATTCGATGAGCTTGTACGATGAAATGTAGCCTCGTAACTATATTTTTACGTTACGAGAATGTCCTTCCATAAAATTTCTCTAGGAGGGTAGTATCGGCGATAAGCGACCCTGATCGATATATCACCTTCTTAACTCTCCAGAATTATTTCCTAACGACGCGTTATCTCTCGCGCGAAATAATAATAAATCTCAGATTGCAATCATCTATTATTACTAAGAGTATTACTTCAAAGATCAATAACATTATAACTCTTATGGAAGATTGTCAATCACTGTCATACTATCGAGGTTCTTCAAATCGACTTACGCTGTACAAGTTAGATAAAACTGTTATTTTATCGTGATTGCAATTTGCAACATATAAACTTCTATTTGAGTATGACTCATATTCTGAATCCTCTTTTATCTATAAAAGTGTCTCTAAAAGAGGCTTAGGAGCCATCTGATTGGCTGAGAAGCTATATTCAAGGCACTTTTATTGATAAAAAAAAGGTTCAGAATATGAGCCTATATTTTCAAAAACATTAATATAAAAAACAGCAATTCCAATATTCTATTTGAATATTAATATTACAAAAGATACAAGTGCAATATGTTCGGCGTACCTACCAGAATCTTCGCTATATGATTCTCTAAAACCTCCGCGAGCGCGATATTCGACACCGAGATATCCTCTTTGCCGAGCGTCTTTAACAACTCTTCTTTCAATTTTCCAATTCGTGACTGTTTATTCAAGGAGACAACACATCTTATAGGCTGCTCGCCGTTCGCAGGGACATACGTGACATTCAGCTGCCTCTCCATCGCGTGAGGTAGCGGTACGGACAGATACATGAAAGGTTCATACGTAACGGAAACGTGATTACAAACCGAGCACACAACCTGCAACATATTCAAATCGTAATGAATTCAGTGTAAAGTACCTGAGAATCATAGAACGTCTTTTCAACTACAATTCTTTCGTCATATATGGAGTTGATTTCTCCTCAAGGAAAACCACATGCCCCACATGTCTCGATTCTATCGATAAGAGATAGAGACAGATACGGTGTGCAATTCTCTTGCGGAAAGTTGTAAATTACAAATTGTAGTAGTAACATGAGACCTGCCTTTTATCTCTTCCAAAGCAAGAAGGATTAATCTACTACGATTTAATATGGGAGATCTTTTACAGTAAGTACCGATTTTCAGCACTACTCCAACGCATAGATCTCCCGCAACAGTGACGAACGAGACGATACGTAAGATCCTTACCGTGCTTTTAAATTGGCCCTGAAAGGTATCGACGATAATACTTCTGTTAGATCGCAGATGCTTCACCCAGTGCTTGTCAGCCTCGATCTCATCCTGCGCGGCAATCGCACCGTTCCCATAGTTTTGCGGTATCCGCGAACACTGAGTGCTGTCGTTTCCGAGACCGTCGCGCTTGTGATTCTTCTCCTGATCGTCCAATCTCATTCGCTTTACGTTACACTTCTCCAGACCGCTATCGTACTCGATGTCGGAGCCGCTCGACGCGTGGTCGAGGCTGCCATTCACCTTCTGCACATTCACCTCCTTAATGCGTTTGATGCTGACACTCTTATTATCAAAGTCATGATTCTCCATTAAATTTGAGTTATCTAATGGTGTCCTGCGCATATTTTCCTTCGGAAACTTCTGCGAATCGTAGTGGATCTCATTATTGCATTCCTGTTGTGTCACTAGGAAATTGGCATTACTGGTCTTAGCTTCTTTGTGAATGTCATACAAGTCACCATACTGCGGCACACTTTTGGACAATTCGATTAACGTGTCCAATCTCAAAGAGCGAGTTGAAGCGACTTCATTCGCACTCTCCTCGTTCACTTTATTGTGGATGAAAGTACTTGAACGCGCTTCGACAGTTTCGTCCGAGTCGAGCGTTTCCTCATCATCCTCGCAATTTAACGGTGAACCCCGCGGCGAATTCGTGATACTGTCGAGTTCTCCGATCGACGAATCAAAATCTTAATCAAAGCATTGATGAGTGATTCAAAGTCGAGACATCAAGTTAAGATATAAAGGTCCAAGATACACGTAGCTCTAAATGTGCTATGTGCGGATCACGCAAATCTCTTACCTCTTGGTGAACCGGCCATAGTCACATTAGGACTGTTCGGGCAATCTGGCGACAAACAATCATACATCTCCAAAAGGTCCGAATTGCAATTGGAGTTGGCCGTGGCAGTGACAGGAGAAAGGGCTTTTCCGCTTGAGTTTTCGATAGAATTAAAAGAGTTGGCAGTGGTTGTGGATAATGGAACTTGACAGTTCTTGGCACACTTTGCTGTGTTCATTTGTTCATGAAGGGAATCCAGCAAAAGCGCCAGAAATTCTTGACAGTCGTGCTGTAAGAATACATGAATAATACGATCTTATACTCGGCAACATTGGACACTAAAGATCGATCGAATGAGCCTGTACTCACCTGCCTATAATCCTTAAATTGTGAATGATAGGCTCCTAAAGTCTGCTTAAATTCCGTTGGTCTGAGCACACTGTATCTCCCAGACCACATCTTCCCAAGGAGTACACTGAAATGTGCCATTAGTGATCCAGGTGGTGGCAATTTCTCTCCTCTGTGCTGCAAGTCCAAGAAATGTTGGAGAACAGGTGGTGTCGCAGTCAAACATTGTAATCCGGCTGCCATAAAACAGGTATTACCCAAGTTACGAAGACCACACACACCAGCGGGCAAGACTACCACCTCTGAAAATATCCACAGAGGACATTGAGAGGACAGAAATATAATGTGCGTCGCCATTGTTTTTTATATTATGAACATATTACTTTACATACACTCACCCATTGGCGAGTCATCGTGTGAATCCCCAGTCTCTGCAAAGAGATTATTCAGTGCTGGTGTGCCAGGTGGCAAAAAAGGACCATGTTCTATGCCAGTTCCTGAATCACTAATAGAATCCGCCCCAACATCCGAGAAATCGTTCAACCCAGGTGGTGGAGGAAGAGGAATCGCATAATCTGACGTCGAACTGTTGGCTTCGGTCCTGAAGCAACATTGTACAATTAACTCCAACAAGTCATTCCAAAAACATTATTCATAGTCAGATCTTATATTTAAGGAGTTCACCAGATTATTATTGTGAATTTTCAGGATTATTATTATGGAAATTATATTATGGAACGCCCATCTTAAATATAAGATTAAACTATGAATATTGATCCAAAGTTCCACAAAGAAATATTGTCCTTACCATGTATCCTCAATGCCCATGTTAACTTCAGATGAGAGGACCTTATCTTCTTGCAGTGTAAGAGTTTGATCCAAAGAAGAAGTCAAGGGACTGAGGCCAGTTGATTCTAATACCTCCGATATCTCTGGGACGTCAGGCAGGTGAAAAATTCCAGGTGTGCCAACAATCATTGAAAGATTTTCACTTTCAGAAACATCTACCTTATTGTCCATTCAGATAGCAAAACACAGCACACAATCTGAAACAAGATTCAAATTAGGATCTCTGATTTGAATCGTTCATCGACAGAGCTTTATACTTTACCATCACATATATATATATATATATATATATATATATATATATATATATATATATTTTTTTTTTTTTTCCTAATATTCTACAAATTTATTTTAATATCACAAAAATATTATTTCTTGTATATTACATAGAAGATAATTATTCAGTTTAAGGTCCTTACTTTCAATATCGACGAATCCTTCATACTGATCAACTTTATCTATTATTTTGCCTCGTGGGGCAGACCAACATTTTTTTTTTTGCTAAATTTGTACTGTACATGCAAAAACGCATCGATTATACATTCATCGATATTGGAAGTGAGGACTATAAACTGAATAATTATTATACAGAAATACTAATACATCTTTTATGTCTTTTAACACAAAAGAAGAAAACTCAAAAGGACAAAATATACATTCCAAATACATTCATATTAATATTTGCAGTATACTTAAATGCAGAGAATATCAAAATATATAAACACATAATTTTAACACTGCAAACTTGCAGTATTCCTTTGTTATCTCGCAAGCTCATCGCCAATTTCGATAATTGATATTTCTAATAATAGCGACACAAAGAAGACACAGCAAGACGCGTGTGACTAACTTGTGTCGTGCGAAGCGGGAAAAGCCAGCATACCAACGGAAGAAATCCGTTTCTCAATGATCGATATCGTAATTTAGATCGAACTGTATCGCCGAATCGTAGCTCGCGACCGCAGAACACATCGTTCAGAAAAACAAGAAAAGAACAAAATCGCAAACACGCGCCTCGCGATCGCTCGCATCATCCTAACCTGATACGCCCCGATTGCGTACGATTCTCACATTTCACCGCGAACGCGTAACGTCCGCGACGTCGAGTGTTCATTATCCGCGTGGCAGGATTTTTTTCTCACGTCGAACGGACGGCCGAACGATTCGCGCGCGAATCCGCGACGGATTCGTTCAATATGGAAGAGAGACGGAAGAAAATACGGGCGGACGGGCCCCCGATCGAGCGGGCTGAACTTGTCGCGAATGCGCATCATGACACCGCATTATCGCGTACGCGAGGTCGTAAAACACCGCCGGCGGCGTCGACGCCGCACGCGACGCGCCAGAAAAGTCGTAGTGGCTGCCGCATCGTTCTACTTACTCCTTGGAAAAGCGACCCTCCGCGCCCCGGGATGTTCACTACACCGCCATTGCGGTGCATCGCATGGTCGGTGGATGCGCGCGGAAGACTCGCCTACGGCGCCTCAGGAAATGGACGTGCTTTTGAATTCCCGACCGGAGAACCGTGGAGCTTGCACAACACTGCCGGGACAATCATGGCGGCATCGCTTGACGACAAGCGACGTCGGCAAGGAGGACGGGAGGGAGAGCAAGACAGAAGGAAGGAGAAAGAGGGAGGAGGATAGCGCGAAAGTGGTTTCCGTTAGGAGCGTTGCCGAGCATGCGCACAGCACCGCCGGCTGTGTGTCTCACTTAGCTCTCCGCGCACATGGAAATACACCGAAATGCGTGTCCCTGGCATTGCCAGCTGATTTTATCGTCGACAAACGTTAATCTGTGGCCGTTCATGTTGTTGTGCGGTAAGACTGCAAAATTTTCATTTATCGCAAGTTTATTAGGAGATTCTTGTTTCTCGTGACATTCTTGTTGAGTGAATCTTATTTCTCGCGACATTTCCCAAACTCCGGGTTTAGTTACTTTCGTGTTACTTCCCTAGCACACAGCGCCGCCAACGAGAATCTCTACTCAAATTCCATATGTGCAGTAATTTTGGAATTATCGAGATACAAGACCTTACAAGGTAAATATTTAGTCATATAAATTCTGCTTATATGGAGACTGATTCTATCTGAAAGTATACTTCAAGATTTTTGATTATGTGTTAGATAGTTTATCCAATTATAAATAATACGCTCGATATAACCCAAGTAGAACAGATTGCCTATTGGTTAACGTTTTTGAAGTTAACTTTTAGAACGTATCTATAAGATAACAAGTCAATATCAATAATTCGTCTCCTTTAATGTGACATCAATTAAATAATTTACAATTTGCTTAATAGCTAGTTCATTTATGCATCTTATAGTTATCATTTGGTATATATTTAATTTATATCCATGTACCAACTTGATATTTTTATATCAATGCAGTGTTGTGTTTAAATATTTTTTTGGATATTAAAAGTTATCTTTCAGGCGGACATTAGATAATCTTTTCAGTAAACAGAAACTTAACTTTTGTACTGAAAATAAAGTTATCCTGACTTAATTTTACATAGTAAAATGGAATACTTTAAGATAACGTTGTTTTTCTTGGGTAATGAGCGTCTATAGTGTTACTTTATACCAATTGTGATTTGATACGCCAAATACATATATATATATATAATAATTTCATATTGATTATTCCAACTGCAATAACGTATAATTGATGACGATGTAGCAACCTAATATGATAAAATACATCATCGTTTACGCCGAAAAAAGGATAATTCAGTACAAAATTATTAGTTAAAATTACAGTCAATGGAAAAAGGTTGGTACACTTTTATCTCTTTAAACTTCAGAGTATCGATTATGTAACCTTTTTCCTAGCCGAAAGTAAAAAATTGCATTGAATTCAACAAAAACTTTTTACTTTTCACGAATTCATGTTACGAAAAAAATACATGATCAATAATCAAAACGCAGTTGGTATTCCGGGAAAAAAAAGATTATAAATAATTATATATAAATATATATGATTATATATGATTATATATGAATTTTGTCCATATATGTGATCTTATATATGATTATATCTAATTATATATGTTCATGTATAAAACGAAAATTGCCAAATGAAAAAAGAAAACAATTTAATTCGATTAAACATCGATATCATGGGCTACCATAAACATAAGCATTTACTTAAATTGTATCTTCACAATAGTATTCTTTTCAATGTCGACATATATAATTATATATGATCATATATAACCATATATGGACAAAATTCATATATAAACTTTTTTTCCCGGGATTATAGATTATATTCAGTATACATCTAAGCCAGCAAGTGACGTTTTAATGGCGCATCAATGATGTTTCTAACATCGATAATATGTTATTAATACCAGTTATTAAAAAGCGTTACTTGACGTCATCTTGTCACTTGAAAACGATTGAGTTCGCTTATTAGAATATTCTTCTAAGATTAGATTCATCTTACGTACGTTTTCGCTACGTGTTTATTTTATTTCTAAAAATTATTTGTTTCTCTTCAATTTAATCAAAGAGAGACACATGATGAAAGGGCAAATTTTTATATTGGATACGGTTGAAAAACTCATTGCGTTTTCGAGTGACTTGATTATATATATATATATATATATATATATATATATATATATATATCCCTCTGCACTCAGTAGCAGAAAAATTGCACTTTTACATACAATGTATAAAGTTCATTTCTGTTGCACAAATGCTGACTAATATTGTAGAACGCGGACTTATATTCATATAATGATCACGCATGCGTGCCCGTAGGCGATCCAGGGCCGTCTCAAAGCATTCGCTACTCGAGTTACAAGTGAGAATTTTATTTTTATTTGAATTATTACTGAAAATCGATAAAAACTCGATAATGTGCAGACTCAATATTTGACGAAGGATTCGCTGAAAGATACCCTACAAGAGCTTATTGAAAGAAAGAAATGGATTCTTCGTGTGTGATTGTCCCTTACGCTGTAAGTTAAACGTCACTGCTGACGCATATATATCTAAGAACTTGCACTCACACTCGTAGTCATTGTGCGTCTTTGTCCGTGATAGTTTAGAATCTAATCTGTCAGAGACACGCGACACACGCACCGCTTCTATATATAAATTCACAGGCGTAAATTCGTTAAGTTATACTTTCAGAACAATCCTCGCCGACTTCGGTATAAGACACGAAAAAGGCAACTGCCTCCCACCTTCGCTCGGACGCGCGCACTTTCTTCCTCGAAACGCGCGAAACGGTAGCTCCTTGCGTTTCCGCCGCGCAATTTCGCGCGTCGCTTTCTCGAAAGTTGCGCCTAAGAGTAGGAAAAAAAAGTGAAAGAGAGAAAGGAAGAGAGGCCGCACTCCGTATATTGCGAAACGTGTATACGTGTGGAACGTGCGGAACGCGTTCGCAAATTTCACCACGTGAAACGACTCAGATTCTCATCGCAGACTGTCATCCACGGTGAAATGAAGGAAATATCGAGTGATGATGAAGCCCACATGACAACGGTAAGACGCATTATTACGTCGCATTAGCATTATTACTTTTTTGCTTTTATCTTTACGTCAGAGATGGATGCGTATATATTTAATCCTTGAGCATTGGCTTAATACATTACAGCAGTTCTCGCACACTAAATTTACGTAAAATTTATAGATTTAATATATAATTTAATAGATCCAGATTTTTATCTGTAAATTTAATATAACTTTAATTCTTTAATTAAATTTCAACTGCAAATTTAAATTCAAATTATGGCTGAAATTAAATAAATTAAATTTGAATTAAAAATTGAATCTTTAATTTAAAAAATTTGTTATTCATTCTTATATGTGTGAATTAAAATTTAAATAGAAAAATTAAATGTAGTTAAAATTCAATTTAAATATGAAACATTTCTTAATTTAAATTTTAAATATTTGTAATTTGTAATTGTAATTAAATTTGTAATTTAAATCTTAAAATTAAATTAAAATTAAATTCAAAATTTTAATTGAAAATCTTTTGTAATTGAAAAACATTTTTTTCTCTTATAAATATATGAATTTTTGCTTACAATGTTGTACACATATTCATAGAATCCTCAATTTGAATATTCTGAAATTAAGAACATTTGTATTTCATAAAAATATTCATAGCATATTTCGTAATATCTGGACAGAAACTCATTTGTCGTAAAACGTAATAGATGTAATTGCATAATTTAGAAAGATCGTATATGATCCCAGATAGCACAGAGAATTCTAAAAATTTCAGTCATATGTCACCAATTCTGAGTTTATTTTTAGATACAAAAAGAATTCTTTTCACTGAACTGAACTCTGAAGAATTCTTTTTACATCTGAAAATGAATTCAGAATTGGTGACATACGACTGAATTTTTTTTAAATTCTCTGTGTTATCTGGAATTGTATATAAAACTTATTTATATTAGAATATAAATTGTACACAAAATAAATTCTTATCTAATCTTATCTAATCTCTATCCAAACAATCTGCTTCTACGCAATAAAAAATTTCCCTAATTTAAATAGAATATCACATTCCACATCACATTCCACCCTGTATTTTATTAACTAATTAAATAAAGTCAGAACATCTCAAAGTATCGGATTATCCTCCTTGAAATATCTATCGGTTGCGTGTCATAAATTTCAGATTAATACTAAATACTTTATAAATTATATCTAATTCTAATATAACTTCTCTTCCTCATTGTTTCTCTCTCTCACGCTCTCGCTCTCAACTCTCACATGTGAATAATTAAGTTACGTGCGCTTCGTTCTCCCATAACATTTTTCATAGCTCGATATATTTTATTCTTCATCGTGACATTTTCCAAGAAAAAATAATATATAATGCGAATATATAATAAATTCATACAGCTTATACAGATATCTTAAAAGACGAGTAGATAAATATCTCTATGACATCTACATCTGACAATAATCCGATAAAGATAAGATTCAATGCAAATATCTCGAAATGAATCCAACCGTTGTCGTCTAAGAAATTAATTAATGTGCACATAAGAAATAGAATATCATATAAGAAATTAGATTAAATTTGCAGTATAATCACAGAGCTAATCAAAAGTATGCAATTTTCCACATATATATATATATATAACATCGTTTAATATAAGTTCATAGAATGAAGTGATAAAATAAGTTGTACACAAAACAAATTCTTATCTAATTTTATCTAATCTCTATCCAAATAGGATGAACTGATAAAAACTCACGGTTACATCGCCGAAACCCATAATGTTTGGACGGAGGATGACTATCGTTTGCGCGTACATCGCGTGCTTCCTTCTGACGATCGGATACCGCCCGTGTCATTAGATGATCACACTAACGATTGGAATGTTGCCGATATATATGATAGTAATCACAATTCGTCAGTTTCTCCCGAGTCGTGTCACCAGACCTCAGAAACTCCTTGTGCATTCACATCCTCGAAAGTACCAGTTTTGTTATTTCATGGACTCTTATCCAGTTCCGCAGACTGGGTGCTATTGGGATCTCATAATGCTCTTGGTTAGTAAGTTTAATTATATCACATATATATATATATATATATATATATATATATATATATATATATATATATATATATATTGTTTTTACATAAGACTCTAAGAAAACAATTGTTATCAGATATATTGTTGAATTTTATACACTTTAACATATGTACCCAAGTAGCACAGCAGCGTCTATAAAGCGCTCAGAAAGTGCTTTTGCAGGTGTCATCTTCCTGCTATAAAAGCGCTATATGAGCGCTTTGCAAGTGCTTTGTGCTACATGGGTATTGTTTGTAATCACATATAAAATTACACATATAAATCATATATAAAATTACACGTTACAGCATACGTTCTGTGCGATAATGGTTTCGACGTTTGGCTCGGAAACGCACGTGGGAATAGTTACTCAAGAAACCACAAGTATTACTCAGTTAAAGACAGCGAATTTTGGAATTTCAGGTCATTTAAAGAACTTTTAAATGCAAACCCAAACATATCGCCCATGTAAACGATGTACATTTCTGTTGCAGTTGGCATGAGATAGGATACTACGATATTCCAGCGTTGATAGATTATATCTTGAATAAAACTGGCCACACCAAATTGTATTATATCGGTTACAGTCAAGGTACAACCGCATTCTACGTTATGGGAAGTGAGAGACCTGAGTACAATGACAAAGTCAAAAGCATGATAAGTTTGGCGCCTATAGCGTACCTGGCAAATCAAAAGAGCCCGCTTTTAAAATGCCTCGTGTATTTTTACCGTTTAATGGAGGTAATGTATTTTTGTTCCCTGAACGACATCCTAACAACGACATCGTATCTGTCATATCAAGAGTGTTACAGTGGGGATCCGTCGTTTGCAACGTACATCAGTGTTTCCCGCGTAACAAATGGTGGCAGACACGTTTATTAAGCTCATTCGTACGTACAGCTCCTCGTGCAATGACAAAGGGTTTCTGTTATTGTTGGTTTCATCTTATCGCTGGATTTGGCAGCGATCAACTTGATAAGTTAATACTGCCTTCGATATTCGGGCATTTTCCAGCTGGTGCTTCGACCAAACAAGTATTCCATTATGCTCAACTAATCACCTCCAGTAAGTATAGTAACGGAAAACCAATACGTTGTCTTCAAAGAAATGATATCGATTAAGTTGTAGTAGTTCAAATTATATTCAACAAATTTAAATTTAATTTTTTTATTTAAATTCAAATTTTTTATTTTTAATTCCAATTTTAATTTTAATTTTAAATTAAAAATTTAAACTTAATTAAAAAATTAAATTAATTTTAAATTTTAACTATCACAACTCAATCGATATAAATTTTTCAATCTATATCAATTTCGAAAAATTAAAATTTTAACTAAAAAAGTTTAAATTTAAATTAAATTAAAATTTTTTAAATTTCAAAATGTTTTTCTTTCTAATTAACTTCTAAAGCATGCTGTTAAAATATTGTACAACATCCTACATAATTCGTGATCACTGTTGTTCTTTACAGAATCTTTTCAGAAATACGATCATGGCGCCGAACTGAATAAGGCGTTGTATGGATCTATTAAGCCACCAGAATATAATCTTAGTAAAGTAAAGACACCTGTAACAATATTTTACAGCGATAATGACTTTCTCACTCATACCACTGTAGGTTTCATATCTTTATTTATGAGTTTTAATAGTATGACAAACGCAAACTAATTATTGCAAATATTGCACATTTATAATCATTTCAGGATGTTCTAAAACTGGCGAAAAAGTTACCAAATGTTAAGCAAGTCAAGAAAATACAATATGACAAATTCAATCATATTGATTATCTCTGGGGCCGTGATGCGAAAACACTCCTGTATATTAATATCGTGAAAATATTGAAAAAACTTTAATATTTATTTTAAAAAATGATTTTAAAAAATAATTTTAAGAAATAATTAGCTTTTGTTAACATAATATGTACTTGCATGCATTATATACAGGGATTGATTCAAGAATACTGCATCTCTTCACTTGTAAAGATTAATTGTGGAAGTTACAGCATTGTTTCTCATGAGAAATTAAGGGAAACAGCATTTCTTACTACGTTATAGCGCAATCCAAATAGATGCCAAATATATGTTAATTGTCATCTGAAAATCATAGTCAACATTATTTTCTTAGATAACATGTTTCAAACTTATTTTGGACACTATTCATTAGGTTTTATGTTATTTATATGTATGTGTGTATGTGTATGTGTGTAATGTTATGAAAATGTAATATAAAAAGAAGTAAACAGTGAGATAACATTTTTTTATGACAAAAATATATAATTTAGTTTCTAAGTCTCAAGTTTTTCCTGTTGATACACAAAAGGTTTTATATTATATATTTAAAAAGATAAAAAAAAAACTGTAAAACTTGATACACATAAAATATTAAATAAAGCTTATTTAACTGTTTAAAAATTTAACTAAAGTATCACTATAATTTTAGCTCAAGAATATCCTGCATAGATACTACAATTTTTTTTTACTCCTTACCGACGATTGATCATGTGTTGTCATTCAAGTGATTCCAATCAACTGACTTAGGAATTAAGTAATCTAATAATATTTGTGTTATTTCAAACAACTCTTGAATAAAAAGATTAAATGTGAAAGTACTCACTTCTTGAAAATAATCGATGTTTATCCAAAATTATCATCTATATGTTAGTGCATTGTCAAATTTAACCTATTTTCTACGTAGTATAGTAAATGTCTATAAGAAATTTATAAAAAAAGAAATTTCTTAAAAAGAATACTTATCCCAACCCGTAAACAAGTGTATTAGCACATGATTGATACTTTAATATCAAAGTGCTTATCTGCACGGACAGTCATGATTTCTCAGTAGTTTTTTTTTTATCATAGATAAGATTATCGTGCTAATTTTCCTTAATATACCTACTTGAATGTACTTGAACAGAGGAGCAGGCATGGCGTTGAAATTCGCTAGTAATCTGTCTTTTATGTTTACGGAGGTACCTAGTATTATTGACAGATATCAATTGGCAAGACAAGCTGGGTTTAAAGCAGTTGAGAGTGGATTTCCTTTTGGCTTTTCCATTGAACAGGTTGTTACAGCCAAAAAAAGGGCAGGCGTTTGTCAAGTTCTTCTGAATGTATTCACAGGTATAGTGTGATAATTTCACGTTCATACTCTCACATATAAATATTGAAAGTAAAAACCAATTCTTCTTTTAAGAATCAAATCCTCATATTTTTATATCACAACAGGTGATGTGACAAAGGGAGAACTAGGTTATGCTGCAATCCCAGGTAAAGAAGATGATTTTAAAGAAAGTATTTCTAAAACAATCCAATATGCTAAAGCTTTGGATTGTAAGATGTAAGTACACTATGCACTGTAAAATAAATATAAACCTAACTAAGGATTAATTCTCATAAGTTTGAGCCATATAATTGTGACAATGTCTTGTCCTAACAGGATTCATGTAATGTCAGGAACAGTAGTATCACCCACCATAGATAACGATGCAATTTATGAAAAAAATTTGTTGCATGCTATCGAAAAGTGTCAACAAGAAGACATTGTTGTCGTGATTGAACCGATTAATAATTACAGTGTACCAAATTACTATATGAATAATTTTAGAAAAGGTACAAAATATATTACATTTAACATTCTCTGAAACAAACAACAGAAATCATTTCTCTATATTCAATAAGTCCTATTATTTTTTATTTTACCATTATAGGTTTAGATCTAGTAGAAAAGATAAATAATACACACTTCAAGCTACAATTGGATATCTTTCACTTGCAACATTGTTGTGGCAATATTACAAGAAACATTCAAGAATTTTTACCTTATGTGGGTTAGTATCTTTATATTGTTATATTTATAATTTCTCTTATAATTTCACATATGCAGTTTCTCCGAAGCATTATTTATTATAATCTCAATATATAATTTACTAGAAAAAACAGGCTTATGCAATAAACAACAGGCTTATTTTTATAAAATTCCATTATGATTTTTATACAGGTCACATTCAGATAGCTCAAGTACCTGATAGGCATGAACCACATACATCAGGAGAAATAGATTACAAATATGTTCTCTCACTATTAGAAACAGTGGGCTACAGTGGATACATTGGTTTAGAATATCGGCCAAAATCATCAACAGTAGAAGGATTAAAATGGATTACAAATTATGGTTACACACTGTAATATATAGTATATCTTCAGGATATTTGAACAGGTTTCAAATTAATAACAATTAAGAATTTTTGATGAAACTCTTGTTTTGTAAACGTACATTAAAAGAAATATATATGTAATAATACAGAATAAACATGCCGGAATAAACATTATTACATAAATTGTAAGTTTAAATAAACGTTTATATTATTTTACCTGGCTTTTAGTATAGTTACATATGTGTGAAATTAGCAATAAATATATATTTACTATTATTATACATTACTCATAAATATAAATATAAGTAATTTCTTAAGAAACTTGTACAAGCAAATATGGCAGTCCAATATGAAACATATGTACAATCTTTTGTGCCCAAAAATTCATAGCATGTAACAAATTTTGCATAAAACATTAATAGGATAATTTATTTTCTGTAATTAGATATTTATAGAGATAACATTGTCTCTCCAATTTGACATATAAGCCGCAAAAAAACAAAATTATTTATGCATATAAGTACAAACTCTTGTTTTCTTAATTCTGTTATGTAATATATTATTAATAGTTAATATTACACAGTTATCTCATTTAATGTAAAGAAAAAGACAACAGATATTCCTGATAATATATATATATGTATGTGTGTGTTTATGTGTGTGCGATAAAGCAACATTGCATCAAAATTGAAATTATTAAAAAGTTATAAAATCAATGGCACTCAATCAAAGATTTTGTATCATATAGAATAAAATTATGATCTATATTAAGTATCTATTTTTTAAAAATTAATAGGATGATTCTCTCCATACGTATAAGAAGTTAAGTTTGATACATTTACAGAGAGAGACAGAGCAAGAGAGAAAAAATATACTTTAGCATTTTTCACGCATATTTTATAAACACTCTTGAAATAATATAATACGTTTCCAATAAATGTATTTTACTAAATTTATATTACTACTAAATTTATCACGCAACTTAAAAATGATTAATACTTTCTATAAAATTAACATCAGTAAAATCGTTAATTTATATATATTATACCAATCCCATTCAAAATTACTATTTAGAATCATCCTATATAATTTCTTTCTCACAGTAAAGTTTGTGTGGACGAATTTTCATATTTGTAATTCTTCTCTTGTTCAGCACACACGTGTACGTATCTATATCTTAATAAGGATGTTCATTGCAAATGCAGTATTTTCCGGATTTAAATCGCAATGTGACGCTTCTCACTGTTCAATGGTACAAGTCGTAATCTACATTCAAGCAATTTGTAAATTTATAATGACATCGATATATTATGTATCGTATTTATAAGGAGATGATTCACTTATAATGTGAAATATACTATGATTAAAATTATGAGTAACCATAACAATAATTTTAACAACGATCCGTGTATATATTACAATATATGTATATAATACAGTCAATATTAAAAGTATCTTGGCGCGGGGCAATATCTAACGTTAAAAATATTTGCACTTACTGCAATAACCATTTGATGAATTTCCTTCGCAAGAGGAGCATCACGTAATCCCGACGCATCATACCGATAAATTAATTCCACTTTAGAGTATAGAAAAAAAAAAGAAAGGAAACACCGAAAATAAGTCGGCATTTCGAACTGTACTCGCTACGTCGTAAGGGAAATTACAATTTCATAGAGGCATATAACGTGAGGTTTTTCATGCAAACGGTGCCGTTCAAACAGATTCCGCGGTAGTCAACAGTGGTGGTTGGTCGGCATCAACACCAGGACCTATCACAGCAGTGCTGTAAAATATTTTTTACATATTACATTGAAGAAAATCATCTTCGAGGAAGCTTGACAGCAGTGTAAAGCATGAAAATCTTGCGCGCTATAACAAAAGCGAGATATAACAGATGCCCTACAGTCAAAAAAGAAAAAAGAATAAAGACAAGAAAAGCTATTCCAAATATTGTTACAAATATAATTATATAAACGCGCAAGCCATATTAATTAGCATTCCTCGCACCCAGTCAAAGTCACTGATATAGATCATAAGTTCCGGAACATAGCATAAAAAAAGGTAGCAAAAAATTTCTTATGTGTACGCATGCAAAAACATGATTTGGCTGTGACATGTGATTGTATGAACTACGAATAATATTACCCAGTGCCAAGAGCCAAAATTGTAGCTTCTTCTACCAATGTCATTTGATCAATGGTGGACCTGTGGTCAATCAGAAATTAAGTAACATGAATTACATTAACAGAAAATAAGTGCTACTGTATTTACCTACATGTATAAGATGTGCGCGTAAATACATGTACGCTGTAAATGAAATTCAAGTTTGCACGTTTCGATGAGCTAATCATGAAGAAAGAGAGAGACGTGTACAAGCTTACAAAAAAATTATGTATACAAAACAAATTTACTTTGTGTGTGATACACATATAAAATGTAAAAGAGAAATACATTTCTCTTCTCTTTTTCAAACAGAAAAGTATATAAATACATAACGCAATTGTAACAAGTTAATAATATAATTATGAACTTTTTCAAACAAGTTATTTCAAAATTATTAAAAGGGAATTATAATGATGTAATAGAATTATTAGGGGAAAAATAAGCAGCAAACGGTTCGTATAAATTAGTTTGTGTTAATGAAAGCGGAAGTTCGCGTACTCGGCAAAAAGAAAACAATACTTGATATTTATGAATACTGTATTCAGAGACACACTTACTGTAATTTCGTAGCGTGATGTATTTTGTAAGCTTATCTGTATATTTACGACAAAACTTCATGTGATGCACATACGAAATGTAGGGAATCTAAAAGACCACGCATCTGATCAACGTATATTGATAAATAGTACGTCCAACCATGATACCATCCGCAAACGATAATACTGAGCAATTCATGTTTTCATATCTATCTTTGCCGACATGTATTGTACAGCACGTACAACGTAGAGTGGAGAAAAATTCTGAATGAAAAATATAAACAAAATCTTATATTTTTACAACAAAAGAACCGTGTCCTCCTGGTACAGATGTGTAATATGCTTACACACTATTTTACTCACTAGTACTCTACCTATACTTATCTTCTACTTTACTCGTCCTCTAGAGATCGTCCATCCGTTAACAATAAAATACAAATACTTGTAATAACTATCGGAATGTACGTATACATTCATTGCTCATTATTGATGAATACTGTTTGATAATTAAACGGAGCAGTGTCATTAAATAATGGTATACGAATAATGCCACTTAGTGACAAACGGAAAACTCTTTCTACAAAGTGTACATCGAACTTATTCGCTATTTATGGCGTGAGAACATGTGTCGAGTCCTCCGAATATACACGGTGTCCCACAATTCGCCATCTCTTAATTCTGAATTGTGGAACATCTTGTATCTGAATTGAGGTAGAGATCTTACGGCTACGTACAGATTGTTAAATGATAACGAGTGTCTATATGTGTAACTTACAAAGAAGCTACGATAATTGCCGTATTAACGCCGGCATTTTGATATGTGCCAGCGACGCAGACAAGATTATTGTCTCTTGATCTAAAGATCGAACCTACGAAGTACCTGATTTACGTAGGGAGGTGGGGAGTCAAAGTCGGTATCATCACCCCACTGTTGGGTGCCATGGCCCAACAGAGTATGAGTATCCTCATTGCACAGCCGCTCGGGAAAGTTTACCCCGTCTCCAAAGCTGCAAGCCACACCCTACCTTCTACTCGATGTCATCCCATGTCTACTACCCTCATGGTGTAACTATCTTACCAATATCTTTGTCACTTTTGTCTCTTTCTCTGTTCTCTCATTTAATTGAAGTTTAAACTTTAATAATTAAGAGCAGAGAGAAGTGTAGTAAGAGATCGCGTAGGGAAAAAAGATAATTGCATATAGTTACACCATATTTTATGCACTACAAATATTATCTGTAAGAACCAGATGCACAATACCTCTTTCGTAATTGTAACAATTTTATACCAATCAATACAATTTTTGGTCTTCAACTGAAATTTATAATACGATGTGTACTCATATATAGAACATGCAACTTTACAACAAAAAGTTGTAATTGATTCTCTGTGTTGGAAAATAAAACACGATTAATTCTTTCACACACTCCCCAATAGTTAAATATTGCTTTATAAAAAAAAAAACAAACACGAATAAAATATTCTTAGAAAATACTGTAAAAATTTGTAGCGGTCATTGTTTCCTCCTCTGATAGTATTCATTTTTTCTGAATTTCTTTAAAAATCGACATTCAAATAATACACAAAACACGAAACACGAAAAGATACGCAATATGCTGTAAAACAAAATTGCAGTCGGAAGGAACATTTTCTCAAAAGCAGTGTAAATAAAGATTTTACTTTTTATACTTTGCAGACGTTGTAGAGAAGCTTAAGTTGCATATTAAGAAACGACTGAGGAATAGTAATAGCTATTAAAATGATAGCCAATGCCAAACAAATATTAAAATACAAATGCATTGCATGCAGCCTGGAAGCACTTAAAAGTCTTATCATTACTCTGGAACTCTACAAAGTGACAGAAATTGTACAAATACATATAAATATGTAAAAGGTTAAAGAATATATAAATACTGAAGGAAAAAGAGACGAATAAGTATCAAAAGTGATCAAACAAAACAGGACTACTCAAAAGCAAATTATAGAAAGCATCTTTCTCTTCAAACCAATTTAAAGCATTTATCCGTGTCTGAATTACATTCTTATTGAGAAAATACAAACGAGTTCCATAGTAAAGAATCAAGATAATTAATGTTACATCTGTATTCGAACTTTAATAATGCTGACCTGTTTTGAGTACTGCCCATGGAGTCATAAGTATTGGGTGTGCCCTGGTGCTGCGATCGTACTGGGTAGACGACACCATTCCCCAGACTAGAACACATCCAATGCAAGCACTCCAATTGAAAAATACTGAATCTGCTATTTCGTCAGTCGTATTAAAGCAAATAAAAAGGTGGTGCTCAAAAAAGGAACAATTCAAAATGTGCAAAAGTTGCATACTAAGTAATGGTGCACCAACCACTTTCCCACATGTCTAACAAATTGTATATATCAAAGAGAACATGAAGAGAATATCTGACACATAGAATTAAAATAAGGGACAATAAATTTCCACTTATGTATCCACACCTCTCTCACGTATTCACATCTGTCTCAACTTAATGTAAATGTCTTTGTAATTTTAATATAACACAGAGATATAAAATGCAGTAGTTCATAAACTCTCTCTCTCTCTCTCTCTCTCTCTCTCTCTCTCTCTCTCTCTCTCTCTCTCTCTCTCTCACGCGCTC